ATTGTTCAAATTGTTGACCTGGCCTCCAAATTCCCATGATCTCAATCCGATCAAGCATCTGTGGGATGTGTTGGACAAACAAGTCTGATCCATGACCTAACAACTTACAGGACTTAAGGGATCTGCTGCTAAGGTCCTGTTGCCAGATACCACTGCACACCTTCAGAGGTCTTGTGGAGTCCATGCCTCGACGGGTTAGAGCTATTTTGGTGGCACAAGATGGACCTACACAATATTAGGCAGGTGGTTTTAATGTTATGGCTGATCAGTATATAGAGGCTTTCAAATGGTGTAAAATTCTAAAGTTCACAAAAACTCTGCCCATTTTGAGTGTAAATATAATGTATACTATTTTAGGATATATTTTCATACTAAATTTCTATATGCAAATGAAAATAAAATAAAATAAAATATAATTTGCTTCATGCCCTATACACTGTTTACACTAACAGTTAAAATTTTCTACACTTGTGTAGAAAAGAAAAAGCTCACAATAAATGCTGTATTCATTTTAAATGAGGACACAGCTGTCCTCTGTTAAAATGTAATGGATAATTCAGAGTTTCATTTGTGTGGTAGTGAGTACATGATACAAGCATTATTGATTTTCCCACAATAATAAGCACAGACCCATACAGACATCTGTCACAGGAGAAAGGAGAAAGCCACAGCAGGAGACAATTTTTAAAGAGTGGGTGCTTTTCAAAATTTGTGACATTTGTTTCTACAGGAATATCTGACAGTGTCCTCACATATACAGAACATTCTTCCATATGGTAAGGTATGGTGTGGTCATTAGTTTATACTGAAATTTAATGTCAGATCATGATGTATGTCAGATACAATTGGTGAACTCCTGTTAATTTTTTAAACTTAAAAAAACAAACTTTAGGGTTTATAAATCAGTATGTCCTGGAAAATGTATTGATACACTGAAAAAAGTGATTTTTTGTTCAGTGTTCTGCACTACATTAATTCATGCATAACGTGGCTAAAACCAAGAGTGTATATTTTAGCAGCAAAAATAAATAAATAAATAAATAAATAAAACTCTTGTGTAATCTTGTAGCTGTATACCATACTGAGGCTTTAATAATTCTTAATAAACTTCCAAGCCTGTCATGTCTGGGGCCTTTGCAAACTCTTGGCCCTCCATGCCTACACTTTATGATATGACTGAAGGGCTTGAAGCTCTGATCTCAGCAACATGGTAAACCTTTTCAACAGAAATCAAAAGTACATGAATGCACATCTGCCCAACTGGTTGGATCCCATGTTCCAGACAGCAAATCCTCCAGCATGCACTGACAATCTGTGGCCCAGCATAGCAACGTTAACAGAAACTGATTCATAGTGCAGAGGGTAATAAAACATTTATTCTTTTATATAAACTATGGCAAACAAAAGCAATAAGCACATCACATGTCCTAAAATGTGTTTCTTAATATAAAAAATCTTTTAATTTATCATCTCTGTCCTTGTGTGCACTGGACTGGTTTCCGAGTTGCTGTGCATCCTGATCCTTTCTGAAGATGGATGAATGAATCTCAGGTATTATGATTTTTTTTTACTTTCTTTACATAATCCCCTTTGTTATTTTCTACGCTAAGATATTCTTATTGTCAGTCAGTTGATTGTTCTTACCATTTTGCGTATCCTCCTGGCAAGATATTAAGGTGATAAGACACAGATTCCTCTAAGTAAATATGATATGATCTTTTGCTAAGTGAAATGAAAGAAAACAACAAGTTTAGCAACACCTATATGTAGATGGGTGTTTTTCATTATTATGAACGTGTTTCTAAACAGACTAGCACTATGCTGTCTACACCATAGAAATGCAGTGTTCTGGTAGTTTTAAAATGTTTACAAATCCACCATGGAGAATATAAACTGCTTTAAGTTCAGAAACACTGAACCATCAAATTCATTAGAATTGATTTGATTAAGTTCAGAAAATCCTAACTTATTGTGTGTTTATAGAGAATCCACATGAACAGAGTATAGTCTTTCAATTAGTCTAGTTTAGTGCCATGTTTAGACTGCCTTTTATGGGGGACTTTTGCAGACTATTGTGAGAAGCTACTTAAATTATAACATTTATTTTTAAATTATTAAAGAAAATGTACTCAAATGGTGTTTTTGTACTATATATTTTCCCATCTGACTGGGCTGAAATTAGATATTTTCCTTCAGGGTTTGGAAATAAAATAAATAAATAAATAAATAAATAAATAAAAGAAAGCTGCAGCGGGAGATGAGTGGAAGAAACTATTTCCCTACAAATCTAAAAATGCATCAGTCACTAAAGTCACTAGCATTCAAGTTTGAGTTATGACAGATGTTTAAGCTTGCCTTATCAAGGCTCGCAAATGCTCCTCATGGAGTTCATACTGTTACAAAGCAGGTTTACACAAACCTGGCTCCTGACTACAAAATGTGCAAGAGTGACACAACCAAAAGCTCCCTGAGGTACCTGGATGTCCAGGAAACCTTGAGAAAAATCCCAACTGTACTTACAGATAAAATTACAGCAGTAGGATTTAAACAGAAGCACTTGATTCATTCAAGGGTAAGAGTTAAGAAACCACCCAATTTCTATTCCTATTTTGGTAACACTTACAGATCATATTTATATTATACTCTTTATTTAGAACTCATAAAGGGAAAGACCTTTCTGCAGGAACCCATATAAGTTTTATGCAGGACCCTAAAAAATGTGAAATGCAGATGATCTGAATAAAAGGTAATACAACTGAATGTCTTGAAAGTGTGAATAAATTCTTAATAATATTAACGAATAGTTTTAACTAGCTACAGCATGAAAATGGAGGCGCTGTTTGCCATATGCTGCCATCTAGAGGTTTTAGATTATGTCTCGGGTCTGTTACTGTAGAATCCTGAGCTTTAAGTCTTTTCTAGCAGTAGATGGTATCAATACACTGTAATACTGTATAACTGATAATGAATTCTAAACCTTCGTGAAATGTGTGAAAATAAATTTCCTATACATTGATGATACTTTTTAACTTATTTTTTATTTTTCTTTTATTTATAAGCTTTGTTTATTTTTAAATATGCACTGGTTGTTGTTGTTGTTTTTTTTGTTTTTTTTTAATCTATACCCAGTATTCCTATAAGATGTCATTTTTATATTCACGTTTAAACCAACACTGCTTCTACTTTCTGTTTACCTACAGCAATGTGAGGATCAAACGTCATAAGAGAACAAAATGCTTTTAGAGTGGCATGACCAAAATTATTTATGATATGTCCAGGGTGTACCCAGCCTTGTGCCCGATGCTTCCTGGGATAGGCACCAGGTTCCCCACGACCCTGAAGAAGGAATAAGCGGTAGAAGATGGATGGATGGATGTAAATATTACTAAGAAATAGCTGAAACTCTTTATTCTTAAGTTGTTTTGGCATCCATCAAGCAGTAGGGGGCAGCAAAACCCTTTAATACTGTATTAATACTGTCTTCGCCACTAGGTGGTGGAAGGTTTATTTTTTTGGGTTTTCCATCCATCCATCCATGATTCTCGTTAGCGTGATATCTCAAGAGCGAGTAGATGAATGTTTGTAGAATTTAAATGGAAGTATCATTGTAACCAGCAGATTACTGTTTAGAGAACTGCAGAAGTTTCAATACGTTTTAAATTGACCCAAACAGAATCAAGGTCACAGCAAAGCCAAATGATAGTTTTTCTGCTTCTTCTACTAATTATATATAAGATAAGATAAGATAAAACTTTATTAATCCCCAGATGGAGAATATATATATAGTTTTAATAATGTATTACCAAATTCTGGAGCCCCATCCAGGGTGTATTCCTGGGACTGGCTCTGGATCCATTGCCACCCTGGTCAGGATAAAGCAGTTACAGGAAGTGAGTGAGTGAGTATTCCCAAACAAAGAGAAATGAGTACAAAGTGTACTTACAAAACTCCTCACACAATTCTTATGACAGTGTTGTCTATGTGCTATATTGTAAATGTTTTTCATTGTTTTTACACAAAATGCAATCAGTGAACACTGTAATTCCTTTTGCCAGACCGCCAGAGAGGTTTCCTTCCTAAGTAGTAGGATATTCCCTTTTTCCAGTCTTCTTGAAAGAAGACAGCGCTGTCTATATGTCTTATGACTATAGTAAGGAATTTACCAGTGGCCACACAATGCCCATATGCAGACTGTACACCTGATAGGAATACTAGACTATTATTTGAAACTCCGATAGTTTGACTGATTATGCTGCACCACAGATCATCCACTTGCATAGGCATGCTACAGAGGCCTTTACCTTTTGCTATTTTATGGAGCTGTGAGCCAACTTTACCCACTGGACCACCTGCAAATTTTTATACAGTGCCCTCCACTAATATTGGCAACCTTGGTAAATATGAACAAACAAGGCTGTGCAAAATGTCTTTATTGTTTAACCTTTTGATCTTTTGTTAAAAATGCTCTGCTCTTGTGCATATCAAACAATTTCAATCACAACACAGGTTTATCAAATAAATATCTTTGTTAAATACGGGGTGCCAATATTAGTGGAGGGCACTGTACTGTGTATATATAAGGTAGAGCAGTAAGTAGAGTTGCCTCACAGCTCCAGGGTCCCTGGTTTGATCCTTTTCCTTGTTGTGTCCATGTCCTTGTTGTTTCCTCCCATCTCCCAAAAACATGCTCATGGATTGACTGCATTAAATTTCCCTAGGTGTGTGTGCACATGCTGGTCAGTGATGGACTGGTATCCCATCCAGGGTGTATTCTTGCCTCATGCCCATTATTACCAAAAGAGCTTCTCAATCCACTGTGACCATGACATGAATAAATACCACTAAAGGTGAATGAATGAACATTGCGTGCCACTTTTAAGCCCTAATTTTCACCTTGCTGCTGCAGCCATTAAAATTTATTACATTTTTTGTTTAATAATTAGCAGCAGTTCTGTGCCACTGGAATTGGCAGCTATTAAAAGATGCAGTTTAGTTAATGGGTGGCTGTGGCTCAGTTGGTAGAGTAGGCTGTCCTCTAATTGTAGGGTTCGTGGTTCGATTCCTGGCCCACATGACTCCACAAACTGAAATGTCCATGGGCAAGACTCTGAACCCCAAGTTGCTCCTGATGGCAAGTTAGCGCTTTGCATGGCAGCTCTGCTACCATTGGTGTGTGTGTGTGTGTGTGTGTGTGTGTGAATAGGTGAATAAAACACAGTGTAAAGCCCTAAACATTTCTAAAACAAATCCTCTGAGAATTAATTATTTCATAGTGTACTTAATAATAGTGTACTTAATAGTGCATGCATCTTGTTAGCACAATCCGTAATGTAGTCCTATAGAACAGAAAGATCTCAAAATGCTTCTGCAAATCCAGTTTTAATAAATTCCCTCAGGAGAGGTATGGTTAGAAAAAGATCTAATGAAGGCTAATAAAGGACTTTAAAGAACAGGAAATTAAAGAATAATGAAGCCTTAGGGAGAGAGAGAGAGAGAGAGAGAGAGATAGAGAGAGTGAGTGAGTGAGAGTTAGTTCTACCCCACAGTGAATGCCTGTAGCTGGTATATATATAGTTCCCGAACTCCGGTGTGCATTAATAGCCCCCAAAGATATGAGGTCAAAGTTTAAGGTAACTACTAGACCTGTCACTGAGACAACATGTTATTTCCATTGCTGGGCACTGTACTGAGTCATGAATTTGAAAATAAAAGCACTTTATATAACTACTTCACTATCAAAAGCTTGTGGTTGCTCACCAACACTTCAAGTTCTCTAAACAGATGGTAAATTCAGTTCAGTGCAATTCAATTTTATATATTTGGATATTCAGTTCAGTGCAAATGCCCACTTTTAATAATGGGCATTGTCACAGCAGTTTTACATAAATATAAAAAATATAAATATAAATATAAATTCCACTTATAAACTTTAAATTTATAAATTTATCCCTAATGATTAAGCCAGAGGCGATTATGGCAAGGAAAAACTCCCTGAGACGATATGAGGAAGAAACCTTGAGAGGAACCAGACTCAAAAGGGAACCCATCCTCATCAGAGTGACAATAGGTAGTGCAATTTTAAATAATTTTCCTTCTATAACTGTACTTTATAGTAAATTATGAAGTGCCTTAGTAAATACACAACTTGTTCCTCTCTCCACCACAAAATGTGGATCCTAAAATCCTTAACTCTGTTAACTCTCAAAGAAGGCCAAATGATTCAAGCAGGTTATGGAGTGGTGTCCAGCTGGTTTCATCAAGACCTGTAAAAAAGTAAATTGTCAGATGCACTGTTCATCATTCCTAAAATGCACTAAGCTCTCTAGAGGCCTGGTTCTTTCAGTTAAATTCTCAGGTACAATTTTGACTGCCACTTTACAGAATTGTTAATGCTGAAGATTCACCCTTCAGTGGATTATCTCACTTGGATACTGTAAATGTATACTTCCTACGAACTCCTGCTGTAATCATCAAACAAAGATTGCCATCTTCACAATATGTTCATACTGAACACACTTTCTGTTTGCTCTTCTACACCTCTATACCATATAATGATTTATAATCACACTATCTGGTGTCACCCAGAAAAGGATGAGTTCCCTTTTGAGTCTGATTCTTCTCAAGGTTTCTTCCTCATCATTTTTATTATTATTTTTTTTTTTTAAATCTGCTCGTTTAAACCAAGCCCTTTACAAGAGATACCGAGATACCTAGGATCTAAATCTATATCCAAATATATAGTTTTAAAGCTGCTTTTTGACAATGTATATTGTTAAAAAGCACTGTAAATTTAATTGAATACAGTGTAAAACATTAGAAGAGCACCAAATTTAACATAAAAGTGACTTTCTAATAATACAGTTGTCTACTAGTGTTTTTTTTTTTTTTTTTTTTTTTTACATAAAAAAAAAAAAACAAAATACCAAAAATTTTTAACAACATCAAATATTTTTTTTTTTTTTTTTTTTTATTTTTTTAATATATAATTTTTAAAACACCACAGAAATATTTTTTTTTTTTTAAATTTTTCAATTTTTTTTTTTTTTTTTTTTTTTTGTAGCCTACCCACATAGTTAAAACAGGTGGATGATGTAGTTGAGACACTGGCTCTGTTAATAGAAATGTATAAAATTGGGTGATCTGTTGTTTTGTCCCGGCAGTTAGTGAAAAGTCGCTAATGCTGCATTGGGCAAAACAAACCTGATCAAAGGTTAATTCTTAAAATGCATCCTATTAGACATACAGTGCACTGATCTAATGCATTTACGTAGAAAGTAGAGGCACATTTACAGTCCAGTCTGGTTAGGCTGATTAGTTCAAAGCAGTGCTTCAGGTATGTGGCCACTGTTTAATCTGCGCTGTGTTTTAAAAAATTATAATAACAAAATTAAATAAAAATCCCTTATTTTGTAGAATAGAAATATGCTACATTTCACATCACTTTTGAAATTATAAATTCAGTCAAAAATTTCTGTCAATATTGTCTTGGTCACATTTAATAATGTGTCAAAGGGAAAATTTATCGGGCACGTACGAACAGCTCTACTTAATCAGGTTGAAAGTTGGGTGATTGTGCTAGAATTATATTATTGATTTGAAGGTATTAAACTGCCCTAATTAGGCCAAGGCCTCGCCCTGTTATAGCCTGTAGACTGGAAGCAATCACTCAAAATTGGGTTGGTCTGCAGATTTAGAGTTACAAAGGTCAAGAGGATCAAAGTGATGTCGTACCTCACTCTGTGTCCTAATCAATTGCGCTAGCAACCTCAAATCTGCACACAGAAAGAGGCCATAAAGCCCACTACACACACATACACGGTGCAATGAATTACTCTTTGATTAAGATTTTCACCAGTCATGCCCTCTCCAGCAGCAGCCTCGCGCCGTATGCGCCTGCCATCCATCATGTTTTATTATGGTTTATTTAATGTAGTTAAAACACATCATTCTGGACCCTGCATCATTTGACTGTGCACTATCAAATGAAAATATCACCCAATTGTTTTCATAAAACTCATCATAACATTCCATAACTAAGAAATGTTCCCAAATGTGTGTGTATGTGGGGGATTGGGTGGGTGGGTAGACGTGTGCGTGTGTGAATTTTAATTCAGTGCTGTGTTAGTTTATTGTTTTTCCTTTAGTGCGATGAATCGAATGGAGTCCATAAACTATCCCTGCAGCATATTGATCCGGTGATGAATCAATTAGTGAGTTATTTAATTAGCCAGGCATTATGGGTCAGTGTTGAGTGCCTTTGATTGCATGGAGTTGCCAGGTCCTCCTAAATCACCCATTTGTATTTGAAGTAGTGGGGGAAATTCTCCCTTAGCAACAGTAACGGTGATGAAAATTGAAATGGATGAATATTGAAATCTCATCTCACAAACTGTTAGAAGAGGCTGTCACTGCTTCGAAAATGGAGACGTGTTTTAAATCACTGGGACTGCATAACCTTGAAATGACAAGCAGGTGTATTGGTAGGTACTGGACATTGACTACAGAATGTTAGATGATTGTGTGCATTAATCCATTTGATGGAATGACAGACACAATTCTGGCTGATACACTGAATAACACATTCACAGCCGAGTTTTCGTGTGTGTGTGTGTGTGTGTGTGTGTGTGTGTGTGTGTGTGTGTGTGTGTGTGTGTGTGTGTGTGTTCTCTATTTAAACCCACTTGCTTTATTTACTCTCTCTGTAATCCTTAACTGTAATGCATATTTGGACGGGTTCGTCACAGCTAAGGAGTCCTGAGACGACAGCTGCACAAAACTGTGACGGCACCAGATTAGCCTGGTGTTCATACTGCTAATTACAGTGAGCTCATTGATGGCTACAGATTGCCAGTAACTAGGCCACAGACTGTACACGGCCACCAGATTGGCCATGGTGTTCAGCTGTTAGCTGATTACATTGATCTCATTGATTTGTTACAGTTTTCCAGTCATTCCATACCCAAAGGTGAGCACTTTATCTTTATATAAACACGTTGGGTGGAGAGCACTATATATTTCAGTCGGTAATTAGATGAAAGTCTTCTAAGTATAAACATAAGTATTTTGAGGATAATCAATATTCATTCTTCTAATTAATTATCGTGCAGGCTTTTGTGTTTCGATGAGCTGTAATAATTCTTCAGAGGTGCTTTTACTTAAAAGGTAAGTATACATTGGCTGACTAACTAAAACACTTCAGGGTTGTTGTTTGGAGGTTTTTTTGTACCTTTTAATTTGTATCTTCTACATGGTAATGTACTCACGTTCACATTTAACATATAAAAATTTTGGGGTAGAATAATTGGAACATACGGACCACTATTCAACCTGTAGCTTTTAGGGTAATACTTTAAAGGTATTTACATGCACCTTCCCAGATAAAGGGTACAAAAAGATGCCACAGTTTAAACGAGCAGATTTGAAAATGTGTATGCAAACATTTAGCCTTTTCATAGCAAAGGTATTAATCTGCAGTAACTGCATATTGTAGACAAGGGAAGAGAGAATATTTATGTCCAGTGAGCGAATAAGTACTTTGATAGGGTCTAATTGCTGGATCAAGACTTCATTAAAGCTGATTAAGAGCAAGAGCTGATGAGATTACATGGCACTGCAGAGAAACAGAGCGATGGCCCTGGCAGGAGGAATTAGCTGATGAATACAGGAAAAGCACTCGCAGTGGACAGAGGAGGAGCAATCCTGTGATTAATGTGTGGTTGTGGGTGGTGGAGTGTTTGTGTATTGTGTCACGCAGTTGTCAGAGAGTGAGTGAAATGTCTTCATCAATTTGTACCCATTATCATGTCAATAGGCAAAGAGGAGGAGTGGGGGGTGAGGCAGACTTGTCCACGACCCATCTGCATGCTCTTGTTCTTCAAATTCTCTGCCAAACGTTCTGTGCGCGCGCTCTCTCTCTCTCTCTCTCTCTCTCTCTCTCTCTCTTCTCTCTCTCTCATCACTTATCATTCACACGAAGACATTCGCAGAGTCCTCTTACCGTAAACCTCTTTAATTTCGCTGAAATAGTGTGCTGACAAGGCGCTCGTGTTGATTAAATAAAAAAATAAAAAAA